ATATGTTAAGGGATTTTTGTGACATGTTAGGCATGTTAGAGCAGGGCTGTCAAACTGGTGGCCCATGGGCCAGATGCGTCATGTGCAGGCCACACCCACCCCAGCTCCACAAAGGCAAAAACCATCACGATACATCATGATATGTCAAATCGAGTTTGACAGTCATGATGTGAGGAGAAGAGAAAATAGATACAAAATTTAAAAAGTTAAGGTGTGGGTAGAGGGGTGGAAGAAGCTTCTTCAATTTGCATTAATTTGTCAATCAAATAATTAAACATTTCAGCAATAATGGTTAATCTTGTAAATAGGGTTCAAAGCAAAGAGCTTAGAACACTGAAACTCCTTTACAGGAATTCCACCCATTCACTGGTATAATGGTATGTGGATGATACTTGAGTTAAGATCAAAACACAGGAATTGGAAGCATTCACTAAACATATCAACTCAGAGGACAGATACATCAAATTCACCCGTAAAAGATGTTAAGGAAAATAGTCTGGCCTTCCTAGACTGTACAGTACACATTAAAGAAGACAGAAGCTTTAGCACTGAAGTTTACAGAAAATCCCCACACACATATCAATATTTACATTTTGATTCTCACTAGCCACTGGAGCACAAAATGGGACTTATGAGAACCCTATACCACACAGCTAAAGTGATGCCTATCAGCAAAGATGGGAAAGAAAAAGAATTAAACACATCAAGGAAGCCCTCAGAACATGTGACTATCCCAAGTGGGCCTTTAACAAATCCCCAAGCAGGAACTTTGTCTTCTATAACAGACAAAGAAGAGAACAATAAACAAAGCAATGCTGTCATTCCATATGTTGAAAAGCTCAGGAGGATCTTCAGCCAACACAATATACATGCACACTTTAAACCCAATAATACACTAAGGCAGAAGCTTGTCCACCCCAAGGATAAAACATCCAGACACGAACTGAGCAATGTGGTATGCAGTACAATGCAATGAGACATGTGCAGCTCTGTACACTGGGGAAACAAAACAACCAGTTCATAAACACATGGCAGAATATAGGAGAACAAACCTATCAGGACAAGATTCAACATTTAAAAGACAAAGGCCACCTCCCACACACATATCAATATTTACATTGAAGACAAAAAATCCACATTTTGGACAGAGAGAACAGAAAGTCCACATTTTAGACAGAGAGACCAGCTGGTTTGAAAGAGACCATCTATGTCTCTCTCAACAGAGGGGAAGGGATACAACTTCATCAATCTCTAGTCTACAACACAGCAGTTCCAAGAAGGCTCCACACTCATTTGCACTGATCAGGTAACCCTGAAGACCCAGATAAACTTCCAAGTGGCCTCAATGACTCTATAAAAGAATGCAAATGACCTGCTGTCTACAAGGAATATAAATCCTTTTCTTCTCCACCATCCAGTCAGAGCTAAAGAAACTTCTTGGATGAGAAGCAAAACATTTTACAAGAAAAACTAGAAAGTCCAGTTGCTTCTTGAAAAAGCACTTTTGGGACAACTACGACCTGGATGACTGAGAATCTCCATAGACATTTGAATTAAAAACAGCAACTCCACTTCTAACTTACAGTCATGTAAGTCACCTCATAGTGTGTTCATTCAGGATCAAATCACAATTATCTGTATTTAGTAGAGACTGGATTTGAATCCCAGATCCATTTGGATCCATGTGGATTTCCTGCAAGTTGTCTTAGTTCAGGCATGTCAAACTTGCAATGTCACATGATGTTACATGATGTATCGTGACTTTCCCCCCATTGCCGGCAATGAGGTGGGCGCAGTTTCGGCGTGACGCATCCGGCCCGTGGGCTGGCAGTTTGACGTACCTGTTTTAGATGACAGCTAAAATATAAACATGTAAGAATGTAATGCAAATTGTTAGACATATTTAATACTCGTGCTTGTGTGTCATATGAACCCTGAAGAAAGAACAGACATATTGTTCATGTAAAGCTGAACTGTGTATTTTCTATCCTAGTGCCCTCTCTATATAATCCACAACCCTTAGTCAATAGGAACAAAGTAGCAAGTTGAAGATGGTTAATCATACAGAAATGAGTGAATCAAATAAGGTACTCTGGAACAGTTTTCAGATCAGCCATCATCAACCTGGTTCTGACCATGTTGGCTGATTGAGAATAAGATATCTGAAGCAACTGAGACTATTGTATAAATAGGAAAATGAGCTTCTGGATTTAAATTTCTGTTTAGCAATAAGCCCATGGGATAATCTTGAGCCAGACATTTCCTTGTTTCCCAGTCTGGCTAAAGATATGTTGAGAGGATAAAACTGGTAACAATCTGAACTACTTGGGAAAATAATGTGGTCTAAAAATATATACATAAATTATGTATACAGTCCTCAGTTCTCATAAAGTCTAAATACATAGTGGGGGAGGATGGACAAAGCTGAGACTTACTCTTGTATCCTGCAGTGTACATAGTAAACATCTATATGAGCCACATAGTTCAATAGGATTGAGAAATTGATTTGCTCTTGTTCCATGTTTCTGTAATCCTGGTCTATCATCATATGAGAAGTCTTGCTAAATCAGGTCAAAGGGCCTCTGACTCTATTTATAACACAGAATCTTTGAGAGTAGTAGCTATCATCAATGGTGAAGGACCATGTATAAAAAAAGTCAAGATAATGGCTGTGATGCACAACTTAACCTCATCTCTTTTCAGAGAACATTGTGTGATGCACATATAAAAGGAGCAGGGCTTCAGTTTTATGGGCACAGCCATTATCTTGACATTTTTGAACTCTTTCCTTTCTCCCTGTGCTACCTTCTAAGTCTGGGTATCCAAAATAATCTAGACTAATTTTCAGAATAACAGTTAGCTAAAATGTCTAATAAAACTATCTCTGATCTTTTATAACTATAAAAATAAATATATGAAGCTGTTTATGTGAGTAGTAGTAGCTTTAACAGTTCAGTTGTGTACAGCTCTTGGTGATGTTATGGGCATGGGCTCTCCATGCTACTCTGTCAAACACAGCTTCTTTCAGTTGTTGGATGCTCATCTTTGTATGAGCTTTGATGGTATCAAGCAAGCCAGTTCTTTGCTTGCCCCTTCTTCTTGATTCACTAACCATTCCTAACATTATTGACTTCTCCAATGAATTTGCATACATGAAATGACAAGTCAGACGTAGTCTTGTGACTTGGGCTTCTAGTGATGTGTCTGGTTTTATATGATTCAGCACCACTCAGTTGGTTGCTTTAGCTGTCCATGGCATACACAATAATTTACGCCAGTTCAAAGTCATCATTTTTTCTTCAATCAGTTGTTCTTAGTGTCCAGCTCTCACACCCATACATCACTATAGGGAAGACTACTGCTCTAACTAGTCTGCTTTTTGTATTTGTATCAATATTTCCATGATGAGATAGACCCTATAAAAAGATATTAATCTAGATGATCCCAAAGGATCCTTAAAAGAACTGTAGTACAAAATTTTCCTGATAGTCATAATGGTATTCCATAGTGGAACTGGGCAATATCACTATTTTCCTGTTATGTAACTTGTCTTGGCATGGTAAGAACAAACACAGATGAAAAAAATGCTTGTAATCTTACAATAATTGACAAGGGTTGTCTATTACAGACAACCATTCTATAAATGCAGAAAATCTGTTTCTGTTTCTCAGATGGCAGTGATCAATATCCCTGATTTTGATACTGGGCTAGAATGCACAATTGTATGCACAATTCCCTAGCCAGTTAGTGACATTTGCATAATGTGCCTGATTGATAACTTGCATATAACAAGGGAAAATGGGCTGGCAATGATGCTAGATCTGAATCGTCAACAAATTCTGGATTTCATAACAGAATGTTTTGCATGTTGATTTTAATTCTCATCTTAGCCTGAGCAATACAAATATCTTACTGTACACAATTCACATGAATGTATTGCCCGGCTCTAGAATGCTGAAATGCTGAAATAAGGGAATTAGTAAATATTAGTAAATATTTTTAAGCTGAAAGTCATGGCCATTTCACTAAATTAAGTATGCAAATGGCTGGTTCATAGCAGTTGCAGTGAAATTTGTAACCTTGCACAGCAATTCCAAAGCATAGATTCCTGGCTTCTAGTGAAATGACAATTTGTCTTTCATTTCCCTATTCCCACCCCACCTCACCCCAATCCTTTGTATTTTACTCAAGGCTAGCTTTTAGAATGAAAAAAGGCTATTTATTTAATTGGGGCGGTTCCATATTCTTCTCTTAGCACAATGCAAAGCTGAGGAAAGATCCTGCTTGTATTTGCTAGGAAAGGAATATCAGGAGTTCACTCATTTTTTTCTGAGCCAAAGAATTACCAAAAACTTGACTCTGAGTCATTATGCCAAGAAATGAGGAATGTCCTGCTACAGCCAAAACGGAGGAGACATTTCAGTGTTGGGGAAAAACTCTTAATACACCTAGTCTGCAGTTTTGACCTTGAATAGAGCTTGGATAATATCTTGTTAAGTTTCTTTTCTTTTCTTTATAGGGGGCAGTACAGTCAAAAGACTATTTGCTTCATTTCTCTGAGCCATTTGAACAGCACTGCGAGCTCCTATGATAGTGGCGGCATATGATCACTGACATTTTTATTAATTTCATTATTTTCCTCCTTGGAGAATTGAGGTCTTCATCAAAGCCAGAGCCTCATTGTCTCACACATACAAATACACACACAGACACACACGCAGACACACACACACACACACACACACACACACGGTTTTCTGCAAATATACACCCTCCCGTTTGCCTGCTTTTGCAGCTGACTTAGCAGGCTTTTCTATCGATGGAGCAGACTTCCTCCGTTTCCTTGCCTCTGTGCCTGATTCAGACTGCAAACCTCAGCAAGCCTGGTTGCGGACACTTGGAAAAGAGTTGGTTGGAGGGGATGGGCTAAAGCCAGCCTCCAGGGTTGGATAATGGACTGCACCACAGAAGAGGATGGGGAGGGGGAAGGACTGAGAGAGCCCCTTCCCAATTAATGCAGAAGCTTTATTCTATTGAGAAACCTCTCAGCCAATGAGATTAGAGCTCTGCAGAATACAGTGAGGTATGGGAGCCCTGGAGGGGCGGGTGGAAAAAGCAACTGCAGCATTTTTGAGAGACTGCCCTGTCGGCTTGAAGTCTTCAGCCCTATCGGACAGTGCACACATATGGGTGCATGTGCTGGCTCTCCACACCAGCAAGCAGTAAGTTTCACTTTCTTCCTTGTTCTTACCACTGTTTCCCACAGATACTTTGGAGTGGGTCAAAAATCAGCTTGCTCTTTTCCTTGACTTCTGTTATAATGCCAAAGGAGCAGGGGAGGTTTCGGGACAAAAGGTAGAGAGGGAGAGAGAAAAAAAAAGCTGACAAAATGAACTGCTTTGATTTGCATTTAATTCTCTGCAGTTACAGGGGAAGCGGGAATAGATTTCTGGGTCACCCTGACCTGAATGGAGATTTCACATTAAGATCCCGGCAACTGAGTTGAGAATTTGCTGTCCGTGGTGCTGACTAAATGGTCAGTCAAGTCTGATACACTAAGGGTGCTGAACGAACAGCTTGTTTTTCTCTGTATTTATATATGTGCTTGCATAAGTGGGTATTGGAAGAACAGTGGAAGGGACAGTTCTCTCATATTCAGAAGAGCCTATAAAATATTGACCAGTGATTTACTTCATGCTAGTGCATAGTAGGAGAAACTGATGTAATAAAATGTGAGCACCAAAGGGATTTTTTTTTAAAGAAAAACACATAATTATGGGTTTTTCTAGAGGAAAAATCTTAAGCATTACTTTGGTGTACACTGATGATGTGGCAGAATTTATCATAACCTCACACATTACCCCACCCAATTGTCAGTTATAATTTTGTTACAGGGTTAAGCAAGTAAAGAGTAAAGAACAAATGGGAACATTTTATAAATGTGCAGATATCTACAAAGTCACTGTTCTGCATATAACCTGTTTCAGGGTCAAGAAAACATTGCAGATAAGCTTTTAGGCATGCAGTAAATCTCTGCTCACCCGATCTTTATCTCTTCAGCTTTAGATTCTCCAGTATACTGAGATAGTGCACTAAATGCCTAGCTAGTTTCTCTGGCAAGAGTACTCTGCTAACTTTCCTAATGTAAGAGCTGCATGTTGCAGAAGCTCAAAATCTAGATTTTAATTTCAATGAGTATGAGATTTATGAAAACTCAGCTTGATATGAATTGGAAAAAAATATATTTCATTACATCAACATTTCAAAGTTTATTGGAATAATGTAATTTTGCATTTGCCACAGTCCTGGAGACAGAAACTCACTGTCATTGCTAAGAAGGTATGCTGAGTCAGCCCTTTGATTACTGCTCAGCAGGGAACATTTGTTATCTAAAAGAAAAAAACAGGCGGTGTTGGGCATAGAACAATCCACTGCACCAAAAGCCAGAAGTATTTGTGTTCAGCTATGTCCAAATAGGTGGCTTATAAGAAGATAGGACCAGAAGAAGGTAGGAGAGAGTCTATGATAAAAGAAATTGGACCCTGCATTTAAATACAAAAACCTGGAAAAATATCCTAAGACAATTTTTCTATCTAGAAAAAATTTGGTACAGGCATCTTCTTAATTTCTTTCACCCTTCTCTTGGACAGTTTCAACATGGGGTTGCAGAGATAAGGACAAATTATAAGAATTTCTCTATGTAATTTTGTACATAGATCCAAAATTGGAGAAACAACCAGGAGAAAGATCAGTGTGAAATGGATAGGAAACCATTCAGCATGGATCTCCATGATTACGATTAGTTCGAAAAATGTATTCAGTCTTATAGAGATAGCTGCTAATGCACCTCAATGCACCACTGAATTCATAGGAGGCCTTTCCCCCATTTTAGCCTTTTTTAAATAAAAGTCTATCCCAGCTTTTATCCTTGATAGGTGGATAAAAATGCCAAATCTAATCTAAAAATCTGGCTGACTGTGCAACCAACTAAAATAACAGTAATGATACACCACTACCATTTTCATCCTTTAAAACTGCTACATTGCCATTGATAGCAGTGCCTCATGCTCAAGGGCAGGAAAGTGCCGTAGGCTCTTCTGCAGCCTGTGTTTACTTCTCAGGGGATGCAAGTTGAATTAATAAAAGTTCACTTTGCCTTTATTCTTCTTCTATGGATAACTCGCAAACATTACTTTCTAGTATGGGTGGCTCTTCTTGAAAGTTCACCCTTTGAAAAATGGCTAATGTAGTTATTCAATCATCAATAACATGGGAGAAAATGAGGCAGACCAGCAGAATATATGCTGGGAAACTTGCTATTAGTTTCTGCTTTAGCAAACAACTTTTGGTCAGATGGTTACTAAATACTCTGAAGTGCATGGTGATAACATAGACAGAATAGACAGAATAATCTGAATTGATCCCGAGGAATGTGAAAAAGTCTTCCTTTCCTTGGAGCTCATAATGCTGCAGTGTATGTACATGAATAAGCCGGTACATCTATGCTACAAATAGCAGCAACAGAGAATCAATATAAGCTTCTCTCAAAAATAGGTTCAACTCTACCGATTTATCTCTGTCAAGTGACCAATTCTAGAACTAGGAAGAGCATTCTAGTGATTAAAGAGTTTTGAGATTCTGCTTGCAACCTGTGTTATGTTTCTCATCTAAAACAAACAAACAGCTTAGTATATGTTGGAAACTACTCACTTAACCAAAGGAAGAGTAGACTTCAGTCACTTAGCATCAAAGATTTCTGAATCCAGGAATATACGTTGAGTATAAGCACAGAATATAGCTCACAGTTCATCCTCACAAAAATCCATTTCTATTTACTACAAATTCTTTTTAATTTCAACACTGTAATTTAAGGTGGAAGCTGAATAATTTCTGCCATCGTTAATCACTAATCAATGTACCATGAATTGTTCTAGTAATCTACCAACCTCGTTGTCTAATTTCCAATTTAATCTAATTTGATACCATTATTTAGTTTGACATTATAAAAATGGTCATTATTTCAGTTTATATTATATAATCTGTAGATGATGGAGATGATCAGCATTCATTGAGTTCCATCTATATATGAAAGAACAGCATATTGTGAATTAGTTGCTTCTGCATCTTCCAAAACAAGGCAAGGAAGGAAAGTTCAGTCTGTTGCTCTGTATTATAAGGTTATAAGGTCAAATATTTCTCATTGTTCATCTAATTGCAGTTTACTCAATTAGCCGAATTTTCTAGGTTGATACAATACATTTAAATATAGATTGTGGGCTGGATTCAGACAAAATGTTAGGCTAAATTGTGTTTGGTTAATTTGGGATTCAGTAGTATTAGCACCATTGATGAGTGAAATCTTACTTTAATTTTGAATTAGAGTTCAACTGGTAAATAATTGCTCTGATAATAATGCAGATGAAAAGTTGTCTGATAGGTCTCTTCCTTAACATGTAAGATTGGTAAACCTAATAGATCCGGGCTGCAAAAAATCCTAACAAGCATTGAATGTTAGCAAGAAGATATAAAAAGTTCTAACATTTTGTTGACATCTACTGGTCTATTTTTTTAAAAAAAAGCTCAAATTTGTTAGTTCTGAATATTGGGGCATGCATATTAATAGTGCTGCATTTGGTGGCAAGGTTGTTGAGCTGATCGTGATGGAACAACTTTGCACAATCTTAAGAAAAGCAAATTACTTTTCAGTCAGGTTCAGGGCCCAGGTTTTGAATGGAGCTAACACTGGTTGCCCTCTTAGATGATCTTATTGAGTCCTGGATAGAAAGAATGATCCCTTCTAGTCTTACTGGACTTGTCAGTGGCTTTTGATACATCAACTGATATTGGACAGTCTTCAGAGGTTGGGAATAGGCGGCATTTTTCTAGATTCTGCTCCTTCTTCATTGGATGGAGGCTGACAGGGTCTGACTGGGAAAGAATAGATTGATTGAACCCTAGTAAGTCTGAGTTGTTGTGAATACATTGGGATTTTTCAGTCACTACCAGAGTTGTTCCTTGAGGACCCTGTAAGAAAGGTTCACGACTTGATGGTCTTCTTAACTTGTGGCTCATGCTGATACCAGTGGAAATTGTGGCTAGAGGGGCCTATGCCCAGCTTTAGCTTGGGCACCAGTTGCAATCCTACCTGTGAGAGGAGTATTTCATATTATTATTGCCATCGGACTAACTATTATAATGCACTGTACTTGAGGATGACCTTTAAAAGTACTTGGAAACAATAACTGATTCAAAATATAATGGCTTCCATCATTGGGAGCATATAATAACAGTTTTGCATCTTCTGTATTGGATGCAAACTCGTTTCTGGATAAAATTTATTATGCTGGTTTTAACTTTAATGACTTTAATGGCTTGATCTTGTATATCTGGAGAAACATCTACTCCAACCAATACCAGATTAACCAATTAGATCAAACAAAGATAAACTGTTACTGATCCTACATTTTGGGGATGTTCTATGCATTGAGGTGAGGAAGCCAGACCCTTCCTTGTTGCTATTTGGAAGCAATTGAACAAAGGAGTCTTTTCTTGATTTTATTAAACTATCTTCATTTCTTTTTTTATTTATAGTTTTCTGTTTGAATGGTGGTGGGAGTCGAGTGTTGCTGTTTGTATAATTGTTATACTGTGGATGTTTTATTTTGTTTTATATTTTATATAAGCTGCCAAAAGTCTCTGGACTTTAAATGGACTGAAAAACAAACAAATAAATCTTTCTGTAAAACCTACTGAAAGTAATAAAGGCCTTGTTGTTTTTAGAAGAAAAGCAAAAGGGAAGAAGAGGCAGCACAACTCTTAGATGGCACCATAAGCATTTCATGATTGCAAAGAGAAAAGAGGGCTAATTTAGCAATACTGACTAAAGAGTTTAGATTTTTTAAAAAAATCATAAACAAAACTAATTTTACAAATGAAATGATAAATGCAATGAATGTTTTAAAAGGATAAACAAGTACAGGTTAGAAATATCCCTTTGTCACCAAATTAGTGGTATATAGTCAGACACCAAGTCAAAATACCAAATATACAAGGGCACCATGTATATTGCAGATTGTGGTCCTTCTGTGGCCCATCCACCTGTTCTACATAATATTTTGTCAAAGAGTCATAGTGTATTCAAGGCCAAGGTGAAATTGGAATCTGGATTCCAATGCAGCAGTTTCTTAGCTGTGACATTAGACATAGTTGCAAAACAGTTTTG